GTTTATCCTGGAGAGGTTAACTCGTTACTGACTCTCTGGAATCAAAGTTACAGTATTTTTGTCCCCTACATTTGTGCTGCATTGAACGGGGCAGGAATTGGTAGTGCCATGACTTAGTTTCAGGTTCTGTGGACATCTGGCAAAGCTGAGCATCTCACTTTCTGGGTTCCACCTTATCAGCAGGGCTACTAGAGAAAACCCCTGCAATCCCCAAAGCCATTCATCTGCCAGCTTGTAGGAGCAGAGCAGCCCAGCACCAGGATGGATGAGTCCTCTGCAGGTGCCTTTCACCTTGCCAGGGATGGGAATGGCAGAGTATTGCCAGAGGTTGGCACCAGAAAGATCATCTGCATCAACAGGGCAGCCTTGGTGTGGCCCAGTGACCAGGACTCAGCTATTTCTACCTTGTCAGCAGCTCCAGGACTCTGGAGAAAAACCTCAGTGTGAAAACCTGACCGGGTGGATGATGAGAAACAGCAGCTCAAGGTTTTCCAAGGAACAGACACCAGCATCTCCCCAGCTCCCTGATGACTGCCCAGCCAGCAGGTGTGGTGGGCATGCTCGTGCCCAGCCTAGCAGCCCCATCTATTTATCACATGGGATTCACTTATTCTGTTTATGGCATATTGTTTACGACAGACCCACCTCTGTCATAAATAATAAGCAATAAACAGAATAAACGTCTGTTACATGTGCTGGCCAGCAGCTGTTTGTGGAGCTGCGCAGGATTCTGCCTGCAAGTCCCTGCACGTGGCAGAAGACACCCACAGCAGAAGGTTTCAGGACCTCCAATCCAAAGAAAATAAAAATGCTGACGGTCTGGGAGGATTAAACCTCAGTGGGATTAATTTGCAACCTCCGCATCCCCCGCCTTTTAATAGACAGATAAATATGTTTAAAGGATAAAGCGTTGCTCTCTAACCCAAACTGACGTCAGCTGAGCAGCTTGTGGGGCTGCAAAGCTGGGCTCAGGGCATCGATCCTCCTGAGGAAGGCATCTGGTGGTGCCACCAGCAGCAGCCATGAGCACTGAGCCCACCTAGGGCTCCTCAAAGATATTCCAAGCCCTGACCTGCATCTGGAGAGGGAAAGGAGAAGGATTGAAGCCAGTCTGTCAATAGATTGGTTAATGACAGGTTGACAGAAGTAGGGAGTTGGCACACGGGGCTGGAGGCTGTTGCCAGCGATTTGCAACACAACGCTGGCACTGGTGAGGGTGGGTCACGCCTGTGTTTAGGGCTGCACCTTCAACAACACCTTCAAGCACCTTTTCCATGTGAAAGAAAGCCGGGCTCCTGCTATTCCACCCACAAAACTGTGAGGACCTGGAGTCCTGGCCACTGTTTTATGTTGCTTCCCAACCTTTTCACACAAGAGTCAACCTGCTCACGGAATCAGAGGAGCTCAGCAGCCAAGGGCCAGCAGGTCTGGCTGTCGCTGGTGCCACACCAAACCCTGCTCTCCCAGGAGCCCACGAGCTGGCAAAAGGCTCTTTGTTTGTTTGTTTGTTTGTTTGTTTATTTAGCCTTTAATTTGGGGACGTGTTTGCCTGCCAGCCAAGGGACAAACGTGCTGACTCAGCAGGCTGGGGAGTCTGGCATGGCACAACTCCAGTGACCCTTTCCCACCAGGACAGCAGGGAAGGACAGGGGGCAAGGAGTGACAGAGGACATGGAGTGACAGGGGGCATGTGATGACCTCGTGGAATGACAGGAGGCATGGGATAACAGGGGGCATGGAATGACAGGGGACACAGAATGACAGGGGACACAGAATGTCCTCATGGAATGAGAGGGAGCATGGGATAACAGGGGGCATGGGATAACAGGGGGCATGGGATAACAGGGGCCATTGGGACGACAGAGGACACAGAATGTCCTCATGGAATGACAGGGGGCATGGAATGACAGGGGAGATGGAATGATGGGATGTCCTCATGGAATGACAGAGGGCACAGAATGACAGGGGGCATGGGATAACAGGGGACATGGAATGACAGGGGACGCGTAATGTCTTCATGGGATGACAGGGGTCATGGAATGACAGGGGGCATTGGGACGACAGGGGACACAGAATGTCCTCATGGAATGGCAGAGGGCATGGAATGTCCTCTCCCTCTGCAGGGTGGTGGTGGCCTCAGGGCAGTGCCAATGTCCCCTGAGGTCCCTGGTGCCTTCCCAGTGCTCCCAGCAAGGGACAACAGGCCAGACTGGGTGGGAGCAGGGTGGCATCCCGTGGTGGCAGTGGCACAGGACCTGTCACAGGAGCAGTGGTGGGGACAGGTCAGGGCCCCCTCCAGCTGGGATGGGACCTTCGGGGTGCCAGGCACTGATGGAAAACAGCACACAGGAAAACCCTGACTGGGAATTTGGGATCTTTGGTGCTTCCCAGCTGCTTGGGTGCCCATTGGGGATTGCTGTGTCACCCTGGGGTGTCCCCTCTGTACCCTCCTGACCCCAAGGGATGATTTGGGGGTTCTTCACTCATTTATTTCTACACCTTCTGGGCCCTGCCATGTGCCACGAGTCTCATCTGCAAATGTCTCCCGCTGCTGGCAGCTGATTTATTTTCATTTCAGCCAGGATTTGGGTCACAGCCTTGTTTCAGGGCTTTGAAAGGGAAAGAAAATATTTAGGCACAGGAAAAAGAGACAAAGCAATCAAGGAAATGCCCTTTTGCCCCATGGCAAAATACCAGTGAAGTGAAGCCGAATTTTAAATTTTTTTTTTTTTTTTTTTGCTTTAGGCAAATTGTTTCTGCAGAACTGGCAAGAGACTTTATAAAAAAAAAAAAAGTGTTTAAACAGGATTAGCTTAAGGAAGAATTTGTACTACAGAAAGATGCTTAGAGAATCTCTTAAAGACAGAAAAGCAAACAATATCCAAATCCAATAATCTGATCACCCGATAAAATTTACAAGCAATTTTCTTAGCAGAGAGAAGAGTATTTACTGGAAATGGATGGTCTTGAAGAAACTGAATAAACAGATTAGGAGAAGAGCATTACCTAAAAAGACAATTTTACAGAAAGCTTCTTGGAATGAGGCTGAAGCTACATACTTAGGAAAAAAAAGGGGTGAAAAAAGGAACTAAATAATGAATTCTTTACTGAAACCAACGTGGCTTCGTGACACTCCAGGAAACTGTAACGAATGCAAGCTTCTTTTCATAAACAAATGCCATTAAATTCTCATTTTGCTTGCTGGCTTTGCCCTTCAGAGGAGAAGGGATTAGGACAGGACGGTGAGGGAAGCAGCAGGGGAGCAAACACATCATGGCTCAGTCACCCTGGGAAGGTTCTCCCCAAAGGCCACTGCAGGGGTCAGCAAGGCCAGCACAAGGACAACCAGCCAAGCAAATTATAGCCAGGAATTCTGATATATAGTAATACACCAGCAACAGAAATAATAGAATATAACAATATATATTATTATATTATATTATATATTATTATATTATATTACGTTCAATATATTATATAATGTTCAATATATTATATATTGTATAATAATAATAATATAATAGGAATAACGTAATATAATAGGAATAATATAATATAATATAATATGTAAACCCACAGCAACCCTTGGAATGGCTGCTCTCCCCCAAATTTATTTCCTGTCCTCCCCCAAGCCTCTGACTGATCTACTCTGCTTTTCTGGGCAATGCAGCTCTTCAAGGGAATTTTAAAGGAAGCCTGACAGACTGAAAATCTGATCATACTCCAGTGCACGATTTTGAGTAATTTCCCCACAAAATATTGCTTTGCCTCACAGCTGGATTCTCCCTCCCTGAAAGAAGCTGATTCTTCTTTATCGAGATTTTCTGATGGGCCTCGGGATTTTGGCTGACAGAAACAGCCAAAATTTTTATTGCTGTAAAATAACTGCCCTTCCTTCAGGCTAAAGAAAATAACCATCAGCACATCACGGCACCTCTGAGATCACTGCTCAGCCTCATTCCCCAAACCTCTCAGATAAACCCTAAGATAAGCACTTTGTGAATGCCCTAAGCCCCTTTTTATTTGGATTTTACACATTCTCCACCAGAGTCACACACTGGGCTGCCTGGCTGGTAATTTCTCTTCAGGATTTATTAATTTCTCACCTCTCAGCCACTCAAAGGAAAAAAATAATGCCCAAACCCAGCCACATTAAAAATGGGATTAATTACAATTTTTATTGAATTCAAAACCACTAGGAATGTTTTTTCCCTAGGGAGATGTCCTTCCAGAACCTGGAGGGAGAAAGATGGAAAGAAACTATTTACAAGGGATGGAGGGACAGGACACAGGGAATGGCTTCCCACGGCCAGAGGGCAGGGATGGATGGGATATTGGGAATCAGGAATTGTTCCCTGGCAGGGTGGGCAGGCCCTGGCACAGGGTGCCCAGAGCAGCTGTGGCTGCCCCTGGATCCATGGCAGTGCCCAAGGCCAGGCTGGACAGGGTTTGGAGCCACCTGGGACGGTGGAAGGTGGATGGGCTTTAAGGTCCTTCCCACCCAAACCATTCTGGGATCCTAATTCTGGTGTTTTTCACCACAGATCTGTTGGATCTCTTTCTGATCCACCTTGATGGTTTTAGGCGCAGCAGTGGCAGACCTGAGACAGCAACAATGAGCTTTGTGTCACTGATGAAGGCACAAAAAATCCTCCAAAAACAAAAACCTCAAAACAGAACCCCCCAAAAAAACAAACAAACAAAAAAAAAAAACCCAAAAAGAAACCAAAACAAACAAACAAAAAAACAAAACAAAAAAACTCCAAAACAAACAAAACCAAAAAATGAAGGAAAAAGAAGGAAAGCAAGTGGAAAAAGAAAGGCAATGCAGTGCCAGCCAGGAATATCGTGAAGGTTCCTCTCCCCACCCTGTGCTCCAGTTAAAAGCAGAACATTTTAATCAACTGCATTCATGTGGTCCAAACAGAGAGAAATTTCAAAATCCTCTAGAGTCAGCACTGAAAAAAAAAAAAAAAATCATATCAAGCAGAACCAGCATTTTAGGGATGCTTCTTCATGATGTCAAGGATTTCCCGGTACAAAACCTCGGTGGCATCGAGGCCCAGCACAAAATCCATGTGGTTCCAGTGAGGGATCAGCTTGTGGTGCACCAGGTTCTTGACCTGGGGGAGGAGGAGGGCGGTGTCCCGGGGGTCGGCCAGGCAGTCCTGGCCCGCGTTCCAGATGGCCGTGGGCACCTCCATGGTCTGCACGTCGTAGAACGGAGCGCCGGGCTGAGGAGAGGGAAAAAGGGATTCACAAGGAGGAGATGGAAAAGGGGATTCACGAGGAGGAGAGGGAAAAGGGGCTTCACAAGGAGGAGAGGGAAAAGGGGCTTCACAAGGAGGAGATAGATGGAAAAGGGACTTCACAAGGAGGAGAGGGAAAAGTTGTTTCACAGGGAGGAGATGGAAAAGTGGCTTTAAAAGAGGAGAAGGAAAAGGGCCTTCACAAAGAGGAGAGGGAAAAGGGGCTTCACAAAGAGGAGATAGATGGAAAAGGGGATTCACAAGGAGGAGACAGATGGAAAAGGGGCGTCACAAGGAGGAGAGGGAAAAGTTGTTTCACAGGGAGGAGATGGAAAGGTGGCTTTAAAAGAGGAGAGGGAAAAGGGGCTTCACAAGGAGCAGATGGAAAAGTGGTGTCACCAGGAGGATGTGGAAAAGGGGCTTCGCATGGAAGAGGTGGAAAAGGGGCTTCACAAAGGGGAGAGGGAAAAGGGGCTTCATAAGGAGCAGGTGGAAAAGTGGTGTCACAAGGAAGAGATGGAAAAGTGTCTTCACAAAGAGGGAATGGAAAAGTGGTTACACAAAGAGGAGAGAGAAAAGGGGCTTCACAAAGAAGACATGGAAATGTGGATTCACAAAGAGCAGAGGGAAAAGGGGCTTCACGAAGGGGAGAGGGAAAAGGGGCTTCACAAAGAGGAGATGTTGCTGGACTGCAACAAACTGTGCGCTGTTGCTAGTCTTTGGGAACTGGGGGAAATGAAATCTGGAACTCCTTTCTTCTGGAAAGGAGAGGAATTTCAGTAGGGACGCAGCAGAGTCTGACGTGCTATGATTTAGCGAATTAATTTAATTGATTAATAATTAACTAGTTTAGTTAATTAATTGAAATTAATTAGAGAATTTGTTCTGCCCGGCTAGAAATTCTAGTTCTGATTCTACAGATGGTTTGGATAAGGAGGCAGAACTCTGGCTGCCCTCATTTTGTGCTGTTGGATCATCCTGACCTCCACAGGCCCTCCCAGCCAGCCCTGCTGGGTTTGTGGTGACACTTCACCAGCACTTCCTTCAGTGACAGCAGGGAGGGGTTTGGAAACAGGTTTTTGAAATTAAAACGTTTCTGGAGGGTTTGTTTCACCTCCACACCCTGAGGACTTGCCACAAGGTGATTTGTCAACAACAGCTCTCATTACGTGCACTGTAATTAATCGAGTTGAGAAGCATGCTGCTTTCTGAACAATTTTTTTTTTTGTTTAAGAAAGAAAGAAGCTTTTTTTTTTCTGTTCCAAGATTTAACCACTATTTCAGAGTAGAAATTTTTCCTAATATTCACCCTGGTGTAACTTGAGACTTTTTCTATGGAAAGTGGAAAGCATCTAATTTAAAGTGTTTTATTCCATCTAAAAGCTATTTGCAAAATAAAGTTGAGAATGGAAAATGCTGTTGTTGCAGGCAGAGATCCTGACTTCCAGTTTGTGAAGAGAGGAATGCATTAAGGGGAGACACAGCAGGCATGCATGGGAAGAGAGCAGGGAAAGGGAAGGAAGCACCTCACCTGTCTGTAGTGAAGGCTGTTGTACACGTGCCCACCATCAAAAGCTCTCAGTGCCCCACCATGGACTCCCTGCAGCAAATTCAGACATGCAGTGAAATCACAGTAAAATCTGAGTGAAATCACAGCTCTCTGGGGGTGCAGCCAACCCTCAAAAGTTAGTTTTCACCACTGAACCGGCAGGATTTTCCAAGCGTGTCTCACAGGTTTGGCCCTAGATCCAGCACAAGTAATTATTGTTGTTATTTTGGACAAATGGGCAGAGGTTATGCTGCTAATGTTTGTGGATAACACCAGGATGGGAAGAAATGAAAATGTTCTGGAAAATGGGTTTAGAACTCTAAGTATTCCTTGTGGGCTGGAGAATTGGCCTGAAATGGCACGAAGATGGAAGGAGCCTCTGAACATCTCTTGTCTGACTGGAACAGGACTATCAGCAATACAAGGTCAAGGTGGCTTGATCCCTCCACTGGGCAGCAGCACTTCAGAAAATGGAGTGTGTGTTCTTGCTACAAACCCCACAGAGTTCTTAGGAAGAGATGGAAAAGTGTCTTCACAAAGAGGGAATGGAAAAGTGGTTACACAAAGAGGAGAGAGAAAAGGGGCTTCACAAAGAAGACATGGAAATGTGGATTCACAAAGAGGAGAGGGAAAAGGGGCTTCACAAAGAGGAGAGGGAAAAGGGGCTTCACAAAGAGGAGATGTTGCTGGCCTGCAACAAACTGAGCTGTTGCTAGTCTTTGGGAACTGGGGGAAATGAAATCTGGAACTCCTTTCTTCTGGAAAGGAGAGGAATTTCAGTAGGGACGCAGCAGAGTCTGACGTGCTATGATTTAGCGAATTAATTTAATTGATTAATAATTAACTAGTTTAGTAAATTAATTGAAATTAATTAGAGAATTTGTTCTGCCCGGCTAGAAATTCTAGTTCTGATTCTACAGATGGTTTGGATAAGGAGGCAGAACTCTGGCTGCCCTCATTTTGTGCTGTTGGATCATCCTGACCTCCACAGGCCCTCCCAGCCAGCCCTGCTGGGTTTGTGGTGACACTTCACCAGCACTTCCTTCAGTGACAGCAGGGAGGGGTTTGGAAACAGGTTTTTGAAATTAAAACGTTTCTGGAGGGTTTGTTTCACCTCCACACCCTGAGGACTTGCCACGAGGTGATTTGTCAACAACAGCTCTCATTACGTGCACTGTAATTAATCGAGTTGAGAAGCATGCTGCTTTCTGAACAATTTTTTTTTTTGTTTAAGAAAGAAAGAAGCTTTTTTTTTTCTGTTCCAAGATTTAACCACTATTTCAGAGTAGAAATTTTTCCTAATATTCACCCTGGTGTAACTTGAGACTTTTTCTATGGAAAGTGGAAAGCATCTAATTTAAAGTGTTTTATTCCATCTAAAAGCTATTTGCAAAATAAAGTTGAGAATGGAAAATGCTGTTGTTGCAGGCAGAGATCCTGACTTCCAGTTTGTGAAGAGAGGAATGCATTAAGGGGAGACACAGCAGGCATGCATGGGAAGAGAGCAGGGAAAGGGAAGGAAGCACCTCACCTGTCGGTAGTGAAGGCTGTTGTACACGTGCCCACCATCAAAAGCTCTCAGTGCCCCACCATGGACTCCCTGCAGCAAATTCAGACATGCAGTGAAATCACAGTAAAATCTGAGTGAAATCACAGCTCTCTGGGGGTGCAGCCAACCCTCAAAAGTTAGTTTTCACCACTGAACCGGCAGGATTTTCCAAGCGTGTCTCACAGGTTTGGCCCTAGATCCAGCACAAGTAATTATTGTTGTGATTTTGGACAAATGGGCAGGGGTTATGCTGCTAATGTTTGTGGATAACACCAGGATGGGAAGAAATGAAAATGTTCTGGAAAATGGGTTTAGAACTCTAAGTATTCCTTGTGGGCTGGAGAATTGGCCTGAAATGGCACGAAGATGGAAGGAGCCTCTGAACATCTCTTGTCTGACTGGAACAGGACTATCAGCAATACAAGGTCAAGGTGGCTTGATCCCTCCACTGGGCAGCAGCACTTCAGAAAATGGAGTGTGTGTTCTTGCTACAAACCCCACAGAGTTCTTCTGGGGTCCCTGAGCAGGAATTCCACACAGGGAAGGAGCTGTGCCCTGAGTACAGCCTGTGGCACACAACTCAGAGAATGTACACGGGCTGAGCCTGCAATCTACAAAAAAATGTGCAAATTTTTTGCTTGGGGAAGAGAAAAGGGACGCAGCAGAACACAACTGCAGTGTCAGAGGGCCCTGGTGGTGACTGTTCTCATGCCCACGAGGGGAAGAAGGAGAAATAATCAGCTTTATCAGTAATAAGCTTAATTGGCTGCTGTCCTGATGCACCTCTGCCACAGCCTGACCACTAATGGCACTGGGGCTGCAGGGCTGGAGCTGGTTTGTAACAAGAGCCCTGCAATGTGCCTGCTGTGGATGCAGGGTCTGCAGCTCCAGGTGTTCCTCCTGACAGATCCATCCTCTGGGGGCTCCAAAATCTGCTGAGCGTTTTACGGAGGGGTGGAAACAAAACCCACAAAGACCTGGCCAAGGTCTTGCAGCGCAGCAGGCTGCCCACAAGGGAGCAGGGACACTCTGCTGGGCACGGGAGGGAAGCTGGGAAGGTTTACCTGCAGCCAGTGGATGATGTTCTGGACTGAGGACCCCGCCGGGGTGTGTCCCATGTACACATCAAATCGGCTCTGCAAGGACACGAGCACATTTCACAGCATTCACTTGGCTCTGCAAAACAAGGCATTGCCAAGGCTTTGGCCTTCAGAAGGACCCTCTGCAGATTGATTCCCACGTACCATGTTTGTGTTCTTCCAGTTAAACCCGAAAACTGTAGCCAGGATGCGCTTGCAGACCTTGGAGCAGACACAGAACCTGGAGAGGACCAGCTCCCCCAGGGCAGTGTGTGGCAGGAACTCCCTGGTGCCAAACAGCTCCTGTAAAATCCCAAATGTGCTCGTCAAATAGGAAGTCTGGTCATGCTTTTCCCCAAAGCACCAGCACTTTACAACTTCTATTTTATCCCCATGTTAAGGCTGCCCATAGTGAAGCCTCCCCTGCACCCCATTAAATGATTCTGCTCCTTGTTTCTTATGGGCATGATCTCTTAGAGCCATTAATGCTCTTGTGTTAAATTCTAGGGCTCAATTCACAGCCTCTGCATCAGTTTTATTCACCGGAATAATTCTGCCAGAACATTTTGGGGAGTGAATTCAGGACAGGACTGAAAGGTTCTGCAGTGAGATGTGTTTTCCTTCATTATAAAACAGAGCGCAGAGCTCCCCTCTCTGTAAATGACTTGAAATACTCCACAGATAATTTCACAATCCCTACGAAAAACATTTTGGCTGTGCAGAACATAGTGCAGACCAACCTTAAGCCCAGAGTCAGAAAAGAATGAGAGTTTTCTAAACGGGCTCTGAGAAAATATCACTGTGGTCACAGGTGAAAGAGCAAAGAACAGCTTGATTTTCCGAGCCAGCTGGGGCATAGTGGAAAAGGCTATAAAACCTGGGTGGGGGGAAAAAGTAGGGAGAAAAAAAAAAAAAAAAAAGGTTTAGTCTAGAAAGACACTAATGCACATGGTTTAATTTCAGTGAGTAATTTTACAAATCTGAGAGGAGATGTAGACTTCCTGTGCTGTCATCAGAAGGACCCACTCACCTATCGTGGTGCCTTGGGAATGGCCAATATAATAGAGCTGTTTCTGTCCTGTTTTCTGCTCAATAAAGCTGATCATAGCTGGCAGATCGTATTTAGCCATCTCATCAAAGCTGCAGAAGGAAGAGGAGATGTCCTGCTGAGAGGGGCAGCATCTGCACATGCACAGCCACCACCAGCAAACCACAAAACTAGCAGGGAGGGCAGGGCCAGCCCACAAACTTCCTCATCCTACTGAGTTTTCCCGTGGGGTTTTCACTCACAATAAGTTGGATGAGCTTCAGTCCAGCCTGGTTCACTCATCCCCCAGCTACGGCAGCGTGACTCTGACAGAATTCAGCTGTTTCTGAGACCCTCAAACCCATTTACCTGAAAGCCCAGAATTCATCCTGTGTGGTAATCAGGACCTGGTGTCTCCTGGACCAGGTGTTCCCTCTGCTGTTTCCTATCCAGACATCGTAGCCAGCATCTGCCAGGATGAAGCCCAGGCTGCTGTTGGGCAAGTTGGTGAGCCAGCTGCTGCCTTCTGAAAGGAGACCATGCTGCAGAAGTGCCACGGGTCTCACACCTGCAAGACAGGCAGCATGATGGCTCTCCTTATTTTTAATGATTTTGTTGCCTTTTGAGACTGTTTGTGAAGTGCTATCCCCATGGCAGCCAAAATCTGTGTCGGTGTTACTCTAGATTTCATTTTAAAAGCAGTTTTGCTAAGCTGCACCATTATCTTGGACTTCATCCCCAAAATCTCTGGAGGTGTTGGCAGAACTTGGGCTGCCCAGGGAGCTCTGTAGGCAAACACAGGGGAGCCTGGGGATGTGATAGGAAAAATGCAATTTTCATGGATCTAACCCTCCTCACAGGACAAGAGGATCCCCTGGAGGCTCCTCAGGGAAAACCAAACCAGTCTGCTGTTCCATCAAGTGGCTGCAGGAGCACATTTTGGGAGCCAGGCTCTGGAGAGAGCCCAAGGTGTGCCACCAGGGATTGCAGCCTGGCATTCAGTTCTCAGGGGCCCGTGAAGGGTGAGGAAACATCCCTGGCAAGGGATCAGCCTTCCTGACAAATTCTGATCCATCAAAACTCATGCTACAGATGCCAAGCCACAGGGAACCCTGAAAACCCTCTTGCACAAGCCCTGGTGTCCCAGTGAGTGGGTCAAGGTGTGTGGCATCATTTTTACCTTGGCACCCAGCATTTCCTCTCCCATGAGGAATTCTGTTGAGCTGCAGGATGTAGCCATCTTCTGTCACCACGTCATACTCCTCGCTGGGGTACCCCCAGAAGGAGACCATTTCACTCTGCAACAAGAAGAAAGCCAATAATTGTTGCAGTAAGGTAGAAAAATCATAGAGAAAGGCTCCATAAAATCAAGCCTGCTCTCCTGGAATCAGTGGCTGGCCTGGTGAAAGCCAGGATTTTACAAGTTCCCACGTGAAAGCAATCCTGGGGTGAGCAATTAGTTAACATAACAAGCTATTTATGGGTAAAAAATAACTTGCACCTGTATAAATTGTTTTTACACAGTGAAAACTATCTCTCACAAACAATTTCCCTGCAAGTACACACCGAGAGTTTAAGTGACCAATCAATACAGAACAACAATTTGTTAATAACCAATAAAGTAATTGGCAAGAGAGCTACTGACCAATTAGAGTCACACACAAGGTCTGTAAAACTGTATAAAAAGGAGTTATGTGAATAAAGAAGGGGCTTTTTTCTACCATGAAGAAAATGGAGCCCTGTGTGATTTAGTCCCATAAATAATATTATTTTCAAGGCTCCTGCAAGGAAATCCCTGAATGTGATATTTCATTGTAATTATTTAATGGTGGCTGTTTCCTGGGCACTTCCCACCTCCTCTCCAATGCCATCATACTCACAATGTTCATCCCTGCTTCTGGGTTCTTAGGAGCTGGGGAGTTCAAGAAGCATTCTCCATATGCCATCCCGAGGAACACGGACACCAGAGCTAGATCCAGCCACATCCTCGCTGTGCCTGGAACAACACACCCACAGAGTCAGTGCCAGGGAGAGCAGGGCAAGGAGAGCTGAGGGCAGGGAAACGCCCCAGGTCAGACTCAGCCTCAGTCTGGTGGCCTGGATGACCACCTAAAAGCGTTAATGCACACGGGGTGGCTCAGGGAACACATCTCAGCAGGGATATTTCCAGGGAGGTGGGGCAGACTTTCAGGAATTCCTGTAAGAGGTGAGGAAACAACCCTTGTGGTGCTGTACAAACCACTGGGAACTGCAAGAGGTTAAAATCACAGAATGGTTTGGGTTGGGAGGGACCTTAAAGCCCCTCTCATTCCAACCCCCTGAGGTTGCTCAGACCTCCACTGAACACTTCCAATACACAGAGGATGTAGAGTGTTGCTTGTCCTCTCAGTGACCATGCAGTGCCACTGCTCCAGTCTCTCTTCCAGGAAAGGGACAGCTCTGTCCCATCACCCTGCTGTTTGCACCACCTGTTGACACCACTGCCCAAACCTCCCCAGGAGGGAGAGGGAGGATGAATAAATTCCAGCACTGCCTTCCCTCCCTAAATAGAAATAAAATCATGAGAAGAAAATCTCTAACCTCTTACCCTTCTCCTTGATCATGGTGTAAAAGACGAGAATTGATTACATTTAATTCAGAGAAGGACATTTTGAAGTGCAATTCTATATGCAGAATGGGGAGAGATGTATTTTCCAGCAGATCTGGACATACCTTAGCGATACTGGGTTTAAGACAGCTTTAAAAACCCCTCACTCAACGTGCTGGAGACTACAGCTGCCACAAGAGGTGGGGGAGGCTGATGGGAACAGCAGATTTTGCACACAGTTGTGGGCAGGAAGCATCACAGACAGGTACTGAAAGTCTGGCCAGGATTGCTCCCTCCAACAACCATAACACTGGACACCACAAGAAAAATTGGGCTGGAGCAGCCTCTAGAACCAACCCAGCAAATGAGATTTTGGTCCCGTGTTCTGAGGCAAGCACGGGCTGGAAGTGCCATGAGTGGTAAGTGCCATTCACAGGCACGTTTAGAATGCTTTCCCACACTCACCTGTCCAGGCTCTAGCCATGCTTTCCCACACTCACCTGTCCAGAAGGGAAGGCAGCCAGCCCTGCTGAGAGGTGGCACAGCTCCTGCAGGAGGAGGCAGGGATGTGTCAGCCCTTGGAGAGGATGGGCAGTGCAGGGAAGAGATGCCCACCCTGGAGGAGATGGAGATGTGGCAGTGCCAGAGGATGGGTTCTCACCCCGGCTGGTGCACGGAGCAGTGCTCTGCACCCCTCTGGAGACAGCCCTATTTGAGCTGGCTGCAGGGTGGGGTGGCAACTGTAAACACCCTGGGATACAGAACATATAAATCATTAGGTGACAGCACAGTTTAGAAAGTGCAATTCCCCAGAATTTGTTTGTGGAGGCCGGTTAAATATTGCTTAGGCAGAGTCAAGTGACTGTGGATGTTTGGAGGTGATTTCCGTTGATAAAGTGGTTTAATTGGTATTGCTGAAGAAAGTTTCCAGCTTCCCATTTCAATGATGGTTTTATTTATTTATTACAAGAGACATAATTAGGTTATTGCAAGGAAAGATCAAAGTCTAAAATGGATTTCCCATAGTTGTGGTTTAGAAATGATGATGCTTCCTGTTATACAAAGATGCCACATGCGAGATGGAGATTAAATCCCAGGCAACAACCTGAAAACATCTGTACTGGGTCAGGCTGGGATGGAGCTCCCTTTCCTCATAGCACAGGGATGGGACCCAGCCAAGTTGCCATAGCAACACTCCATACCTTGTCTATCCCTTGACCCAGTTTTTCACTTTTGCTCTCCCAGTTCCCTCCACCTGCCCCACTTTGGGCTGGGGGATGGAGCTGTGCCAGCCCACCACAACACCCTTGTTCTTCACACCCTTACAGGAAGGCATGAGGAGTACCTGAGTGCCTTATCCTGCAAGTGTCCTGCCAACAGGGAGAGTTATCCCTCTCCATCACCCGTGCCAGGGCTGAGGCTGCCTCCTGCCCTTCTTTCCTAGATTGTTTTGCTGTGGAAATTGTGGTGAAAGGTCAGTAAGGAAAGGTGTCTTTGTCAGCCTGGAATGGGCCTGAGATGTGTCCAAGGCATGCACTTAGATTTGTCAGTTTGTCCCACTTCTATAAACACACAGTAGAACAGGGGTGTGTAATTTGGATTTTTGGAGGTGAAAGGTGACTTTGTTTTTGGGGTACTGAAGCTGAGCAAGAGACCTCTGGCTTTCACCTTCTGAGGAAACTGAATATGGAAATCTACACTCCAGGGAAAGGGCAGAGCAGCTCTGGCCACACTCATCTGGAGGCACTGGAAGGGGCAAGACAAAGGCTGCAGCCAGAAGAGTCCTGCAGCACTTGAAGAGCAGGACATTGCCATATTTCTTACAAGGTGCTCCAGCCTCCTGAGGGTCATGTGCAGCTCCTGCTGAAGCACCACCACTGCAGAGACTGAATAGGATTGATGCCTCAGGTTTAGCTTTTATATTTTTCAGATTCTGTGCTGCTTTAGTGTGGAAGTCTAGGCTTCATATTATGGGATGGTGAGCTCTGTTCACAGAGTAGGGAGACAAAACAATTCCTTCTCTAGCTGGGAACCAAGGACAACCACCCAAATTTCAGGCCCAAGATGATAAACTGTGAATTGAAGAAGAAAAACAAGCAGGACGGGACTTCATAACCTGAAGGTATAATTAGACAATTAACTCCAATATGCAAATGGAGCAGAACTTATAAAAGTGAGAGACCCTGTGACTGGGTGTCCATTTTGTGACCATTTTGGTTCATCTTGGGTGCAGCCCTGGCTGGGCTCTTGTGCTGCCCAAGGTGGATCTATGGAGGCCTTTTAATAAATCCCTGCTTTATTCTTTAGCTCTGTCTGGCCTCTGTTCTAAGTCAGCTTCTCAAGGCATCAGGATCAAGGAGAGTCCCTTGAAGTTCACTGCATGGCCAGACCCTGTAAACTCAGCTCCATCCACCTCCTGCTGCAGGGTCACTGACAGCTCATCAGCCTCTGTGGATGTCACCATCTTCACATCCCTCCCACCAGGCATTCCAGACTGGACGTAGCATCCAGATGTCACCTTCCTTGGTGGGGGTGACAACAGCCAGTGCCCCTTGCCTGCTCCTGTGGCCCAGGCCAGGGCTCTCCATCCTTGCAGGGAGAGCACATTGCTGGCTCGTATCCAGTGTGGTGCCTGCCACCCTTCCCAGCTCCTTTCCAGTCAGGCTGTTGTGCCACAGCTCCTAATCTGTGTCCCCGTGCCCTGCCCTCATCCAGGGCCAGCTGCCACCAGCACATACTTCAGGTAGGTGTTTAGCCTGAAAGCAGGCACTTGTCACACATCCAAGGGTTCTCACCCAGCTCCTGCAGCCCTCTCTTGCACCACTCCTGCTTTTTTGCTGGCAGTCCCCACGTGCTCATCAGGTGAGCACAGCACTTTTTCCACTGCAGTGGAAACTTCAGCACTACCCATGATGCTCAAGTTTAATCATTGAGTTTTCTGTAAAATTACTGCCAGGGATTCTGCCTTAATTCTTGGTGTTCCTCTTTTGGCCTCAACTCTTTAAGTGTAATAATGTCTTAATACTGTTCTGCATCTAATAGGTGTTAGAAAGGATTCAAAGGAGATGATGGTGAAGGGTCTGGAGGGTCACACAGGGACTGGCTGAGGGAATTTGGTTTGTTCAGCTGGAGCAGAGCACACTGAGGTCAGACCTCACCAGGGGCTGCAGCTCCTTCCCAGGGCAGCCCCGAGCTCTGCTCTGTGACAGGGACAGGGCCAGGGAATGGCTGGAGCTGGGCCAGGTTGGAGATCAGGGAAAGGTGCTTCCCTGAGAGGGTGCTGGGCACTGCCCAGGCTCCCCAGGGAATGGGCACAGCCCTGAGGCTGCCAGAGCTCCACACAGGGTGGGATTGTTGGGGTGTCTGGGCAGGGCCAGGAGTTGGAGTGATGAGCCCTGTGGGTCCCTTCCAGCTCAGGATATTCCATGGTTCTATGACTCTGTGACTGCTTTCCTGCCTGCTTCCACATGTGAGAGACTCTGCTGAGCTCACTGGCATGCCGAGCTGGCAGTGACAATCCAGGTGACCACTCAGAGCCATCAACCATTCCCAAGCACATCTCCCACACAGAGCCATTCAGTGGCCAGTGGGTCAAATATTATGAGGTTTCAGAAGTCTCCTTTTCACAAAGACACCGGCAATGGTGGTGACAAATGGTGGTGACAATCCCCTGCCAAAGTACAACCCCACGGGTCCTCTGGGAGACAGCAGAATCTGGATGGATCCACAGCAGGCAGGGAATAGGACAAGGTGCCAGCTCTGCAGGAGGTGCTGAGGAGGGGACACAACCTCCTGAGGCTTCTTTTGGGGGCAACGGTGTTGAGAAGAGAAAACCTCCCACAAATGGGAATCCACAGCTGTAAACTCTCACATGTTGGACAGTCACTTATACAGCCCATCTTTTATTTTTGTGAAAAAAAGTGCCAGGCCGAGCACATGTCCTCCTCTGTGAGGGCCCCACAACACCTGGGAAGGGGAGACAGGGGCTCCCACCTCTCTCCAGGAAGAGCCTATTAAACAACACCTGCCCTGAGGTCAGCTCGGAGCTCCCTTGGAAGGGGAGCACCACTGACACCTGCCTGTGCCTCGGGCACAAGAGCTTCACACCTCTCTGTAGATAAACACCTCTGCCAAAGTGTCGGCTTCTGGTGTCCCCCATACCACAACGATCCTATCACAAGTTTTCTGGAACATCTCCTCCCACCCGCGCAGCTGGGTAAGGGTAGCAACCCAGATCCTTCCCCAGCTGCCCACTCTCAGGGCTCTGGGCACGGGAGGTTGTTTTCCTAGGCAGAGGCATTGCACAGTGTCACCACGCAGTGTCACCACGCAGTGTCACCGCCCCTCAGCACTGTTTGCTCCGGGCCCAGCATCCCGCTTTCCTCACAGCCAGCTACGGCTCCTTGCAAAACAGCAGCGCCTTCTGGAAGGTGTCACATCCACAGCTCCTGCTGGGAGCACCTCCAGCAGGGCAGGAGTGGATACGGCAGAGGCAGCTCAGTGAGGGTGGGGCAGACCCAGCTCCGGACCGCTGGCAGGTGTGTGTGACATGGGGGTGTGTGTGACACGGGTGTGTGTGACACGGGTGTGTGTGTGTGACAAAGGTGTGTGTGACACTGGGTGTCTGTATGTGTGTGGGTGTGTGTGACACAGGGATATGTGTGTAACACAGGAGTGTGCGACACCAGTGTGTGTGACACAAGGATGTGTGTGTGAAACAGGGGCGTGTGACACTGGGGTGTGTGTGACACAGAAGTGTGTGACACAGGTGTGTGTGTGACACAGAGGTGTGTGACATGGCGGTGTGTGTTTGTGTACAGGTGTGTGTGACACGGGGGTGTGTGACACAGGAGTGTCTGTGTGTGTGACACAGGGCTGTGAGATGTGGGGGTGTGTGACACAAGGGTGTCTATGTGTCCAGCTGTGTGCACCAGGCAGGCTTGCATGTACAGGGTGTGTATGTGTACAGGTGTGCACATACAGGTGTGTGCTCAGCACAGGTGTACCCGTACAGAG